CTGTGTTTAAAGGAAGGGACAGCATTCTGGGAAAGATCTGCATTGCCATGTGGGAGTCCACGAATGCTTGCCATGATCCTCTTCTGGTTCATGGACCTTCAGGGGTCGGTAAAACAGCTCTGCTTTGCAAACTGGCACAGGAAATGCGAGGCGTTGTTGACCATCGGGGAGTTGTGGTGCTGAGGTTGCTGGGAACATCTCCACTCAGCTCGGATGTTGACTCTGTTCTCAGAGGTGTTTGTCTTCAAGTGTGTGGAGCTTTAGGGTTGCAGTTCCCCTATCCACATATTGCCAACGCGCATGAAGAGCTAGTCCGGTTTTTCCATTCCATGCTGGAAGACGTGTCAAAACAAGGAGACACGCTCCTACTCATTCTGGACTCATTGGACCAGCTTTTAGAGGCAAACAAACCTCATAAACTAGACTGGATACCTAAAGTGATCCCTCCCAATGTGCAACTTGTACTCTCCATTTCTGATGACTATGTTGAGAAATGTAAATCTTTGGTTTCAGCAGAACAAAACGTCTTTAGAGTGGAACTTCTCACAGACGATCAAGGGAAAGACGTTATTGGCGCCTACATGAGCGCAGCTGGACGCAAGCTGACCTCAGAACAGGTAGACACCATCTTAAACCGCTTCCAGCAAAGCAGGAGCCCTTTGCACATGAAACTCATGCTAGACACTGCCAAACAGTGGTCCTCCTGCACCTCCACGTCTAATGTTCGCCTGGGCGTCTCTGCACAGGAAGTGATGACACAGTTTGTGGAGTCACTTGAGGAGAGTCATGGGAAGAAGCTAGTTAGTCATGCTCTGTGCTTCATCTTGTTATCAAGGCAAGTCATATTTTATGTTATGTTGGTTTTAGGAGGATCTAATGTGTTAACTTTTTAATGACAGATTATGAGGATGCTTTGGTAGTTTAGTATAATGGAGTCTTTACGCTGCCAAGCTTTGCCACATCCAAATTACATGTAAAAACGTAATGGCACATAAAAGATGCGCAGCACTAACCCTAAGCCTATATAAATATATATTGTTTTACAATGAAATGAATTAATTTGAATCATTTTATGAACCTTGGTGGAAGA